CTCAAAATCCATTTCAGAAGATCGGCAGGAAACCCGATTAAGTCAAGCTTCCTTACAAGAAGAGAGTGATTAACCGAGTCAAAAGCTTTACTGAAGTCTGTGTAAATCATGTCGGTTTGAAAGTTACGTTGCAAACCTCTAATAACGAAAGAGGTGAGTTCCAGGAGATTTGTAGTGGTCGATCTTCGCCTCATAAAACCATGCTGACATGGAGAAATTACGGATCTGCATAAATGCTGCAAGTGAGGAGTAATTACATTCTCGAAAAGTTTTGGAATTGCCGACAACTTAGAGTTTCCTCTATAGTTGCTGGCGTCCGATTTGCTACCTTTTTTGTGGAGAGGAATTATAAATGATTCCTTCCAAATAAGTGGAAATTCGAAGGTTTCTAAAGATAAGGTAAACAATTTCAGAAGGGGATTGCACAAAGCTCCAGCACAATACCTGAGCACGCAGCCTGGTATTCCATCGTGACCCGGTGAGTAAACTGGTTTTACACGATAAAGATCCAAACTAAGGGAGCTTTCGGTTAAAATAGGACTGAAAATTAGGTTCGATTTGGGCAAATCAATAGAGTAAGTCTGATCTAAGCTATTTGAGGAGCAATACGTAGTTTTGAAAAACTCGGCAAAGAGATCGGCGATGGCCTGATCAGAGTTTGCTGTAGCGTTCTTGAACGAAAGCGATGAAGGAAGTAGATTGGGTTTTCGCTTAGTGTTAACAAAGTTATAAAACTGTTCCGGGCCCTGCGTGAACTGAACCCTACAGCGAGTTAAATAACTCTTATAACACTGCGCGTTTAGCACGGTGAAATTCGACCGAGCAATGATATAACTTGAATGAACAGTAGGAGAACCGGTACGTTTATAACGATTATAAAGCCTAGACTTAACATTTTTTAGGCGTGTCAGCTCTTTAGTGAACCAAGGTGGTTTACTAGACACCGACGGATAGGTCAACGGAACACACGGTGCAAAGAACGCATTCATGGCACTGTAAAAAATATCCACGGCGGACGCCATGTCAGTGCACCTGTAAAGCTCAGACCAATTAAATTCAGAAATCAAGGTATCTAGCCTATGAAAGTTTGCTTTACGAAAGCAGCGAACTTTAGTGGCTGAGCGACTCAGATCAGGTTTGGTCTTTACGACAATTCCCAAATCGATGGTCACTTCGAAAGTAGGGTGGTAAGGATCTTCGGGAAGCGTCAATGGATCGACTCTTGTTAAGTTTACACCTACAGGATCAGAGACGAAACACAGATCTAGTAGGCGATTTAAAGAATTTACAACATGGTTGACTTGGGACAACGAAATCTCAAGCAAGCCATCTATGAGGTCATGCTGTGCCGCAGTTTGGAGGACATTAGACGTACCATCTGATAACCAACGAGCTCCAGGTATATTGAAGTCACCTAGAGTTACTAGTTGGTCTCTATCCGAAAGCATGTTGGAGACGGCCTGAATTGCCGAAAGGTGTTTCCAGTAAATAGGCTCTTCAGCAGATGGAGGAACGTAAGAACAGGTTATATAGATAAAACTACCTGGAAATGATAGTTTTACACAGATAAATTCAATACCTGTGAAATCGTCAATTTGAACCGGTTCGGAAATAAGGGTGGAGTCAACGCCAATTAAAACTCCACCACCTCGCTGGGAAAGACGGTCCAATCTATAAGTTGTGTACTTACCCGGAAAAATTTCGGAGCTGAGAATCTCCGGCTTTAACCAGGTTTCGGTAAACACAATCACCTGGGATGCAAACGAAAAACTATCAGAATACAATTTAAAGAGCTTGCTGCGTAAGCCTCTAGTATTCTGATAGGAAAATAGGAGGGAGGTATTTAGTTTTTTGGCCGAGAAACAAATATTGTTTTTAGTGGTGGAATAGCGGTGATGGTCTTTGGTAACGCAGCATTACTGACCTCTGCTAGTGGTTCAGCCCTATTTTTGCCCTTTGGGATAGCAGAGATTTTTTTTTAAGTCTGCAGTGTAAGAGATTGAGACCCCGCAGCGGACTCAACTAATAACACTGGCGGATCTGGGTGATGGTTTCAGTCGGTAAGCTTAAAATTGGGTGAGCTCTCCATAAGGGATACTTTGTGATGGTTGGCGAGAGTTTCTGAAGCCGGCTTAGTTTGCGTGTGGCTTCATTTAGACGTTGCTTTGATCTATTGTTTTGCCACGCCCGTCGCAAACGCCTCTTTTCTCGGATAAGCTGTTCAATCTGCTGTTTCGTTTTGAATTTGATTCACATCCTTCTGTTGTGGTGTTCAGATCCTGGCTGCAGTCACAAGTATCTCTCCCAGAGGGGAGGTTGAGGAGTCGATGTCGGCTTCAGTATTGAGCTAGGGGACTAACTCAATGTGGGAACTCATACTTTTTGTATTTCATCCAATTTGTTCTGTGCGACGTCAGCCTGTAGGGGCGATCCGTAGTTTCTGGGCTTTAAAGGAGGGTCATTAGCGGCGAGTTATCTGAAGAAAGGTCCGGAAGGGAATTGGCGTTTATTAAATTGCGTGGGATGTTTTTCGTCACCGCGAAGTCAATTAGATCAGGTATCTTTCTGAGGTCTGCTGGCCAATATGTGGGGCTACCAGGGGAAACGTAGTCCAGTTTATTTCTCACATTGATGAGAGCGTTATACAGTTGTCTCCCTTGGGGCTCACGAGGCGGGATCCCCAATGCGTGTGCTTGGCGTTGTAATCTCCTGCAGCTATGAAACGATCTCCAAGAGAGTTGTAAAAGTCTATGAATTGGCCTTCAGAGATTGTAAAGCGAGGTGGGCAGTAGACGGCAGCAATGCAAAGGTTGCCGTTACCTGACTGCACTTTTATGGACGTAGCTTGCAAGTAATTTGTTGCAAACCTTTGGTGAAAGTGATGCGTTCTCTGATAAGGATGCCGGTCCCGCCGTGGGCTTTACCATCTGGATGATCTGTGCGGTGGAAGGTTTTTTTTTTTTTTGTATTCAGTTTTTTATTTATTATTTACAACTAAAATAATAACATACAATAAGATAAAGGATGGATGCTATATCTTTATCTCTCTTGCGGACGAAACCATGGCCCTCACTGTGCGGTACGGCCGCAAAGCATTGCTTCGCACAGTGGCAGGCCGCTTAGTCCATCCGCTCGTTTCTGTCCCTCTCCAGACGCCTAAGTGTCCTCAACACCTTCGCCGCGAATTCCGCCGTCGCTTCCCACGTCCTTGGGCTCTCCAGCATCAGCGGCACCAGCGTGCCCACGCAGATCTCCGCTCCTGATATCGCCTCCAGCTCTGCCCTTTCTTCGGCGACCCGGCGGCACTCGAAGACGACGTGGCGCGCATCTTCTTGATGCCATCAGCCATCCTCGTTCTCGTGGCCGAACCTCTTGAGATAGCCACGGAAGCAGCCGTGACCGCTCAGCAGCTGGGTCAGGTAGAAATCCACCTGCCCGTGCGTCCTCTCCATCCAGACCTCAATATTGGGGATCAGGCTGTGGGTCCATCTCCCTTTGGACGAGGCATCCCATCTGGTTTGCCAGCTCCTGTAGCTCGTTCGTCTAGCCGCCATTTTTGCCTCGGACTTCGCGGCGCGATCAAGTCCAAGGTGCCCGCGGAGCGCGTTGCGCAGCTCGACCTTCTCGCGGACCAACTCCCTCAGAGGGACCAAGCCCGCTATCACTAGCGCGGCGTCGTCCGAGACCGTCCTGAATGCGCTTGCCACTCGGACAGCGCATAGTCTGTATGCAGACTCCGCACCACGCATGTAGGATTTGGTCTCAGCGGCTGTAGCCCACACCGGTGCCGCGTACAGCATCTGGGAGGTTGCGACGCTAGTCAGCAGCTTCCTGATGGTCTGCTTAGGTCCTCTGGTGTTGAGGAGTATCCGCGAGAGGCTTCCTGCCGTCTTGCTGGCCTTCTTCTGGGCGTACTCCAAGTGCTCCTTGAACGATAGCCGGGTGTCGATCAGAACACCGAGGTATTTTATTGCCCTCTGCGATCTGATCACGGCTCCGCCAACTAGGATCTCGGCCGTTTCCACGGTCTTCCGACTCGATATAAGGACTGCCTCCGTCTTTTGTGCCGCTAGCTCCAGGCCCGCTCTCGCGAGCCACGATTCGATCGATGTGATCGCATCGTTCGCCAGTGCTTCTGCTGCGGTGCGCTGCTTAGCGACTACGACCACCGCCACGTCGTCAGCGAACCCCACAACGGTCGTGCCACTGGGCATTGGGAGCCGCAGGACGCCGTCGTACATGGTATTCCAGAGCAGGGTTCCCAGCACGGAGCCCTGAGGGACTCCGGCGGAGACTTCGTATGCTCTGGAGCCCAAGTCCGTTGCCACAGTGAGCACTCTTTCACTGAAATAGCTCCTTGCTATCCTCATGAGGTACCCTGGAATATTCAGGGCGGCGAGGGACTCCAGCGTTCGGTTCCAGTTTGCGGTGTTGAAGGCGTTTCGTATGTCTAGCGTTACCACTAGACAATAACATTTGGAGCCGCCTTTCCACCTCTTACCGGCGATGGCCGATTTGGCTATTCCCGTCACCGTCTCGAAGGCGTCCAGCGTTGACCTCCCTTTCCTGAACCCAAACTGGTTTGGGGAGAGACCTCCGGCCTCCTCGATGGCCGCAGTCAGTCTGACGGATATGATCCGCTCGAAGACCTTACCAGTGGTGTCCGTGAGGCAAATGGGCCTATAGGAGGATGGCTCCCCCGGGGGCTTGCCCGGCTTGGCGAGTAGCAGCAGCTTCTGCCTCTTCCATCTTTCTGGAAAGGTCCCCTCCTCCAGGCACTTGGAGTACAGGGTTGCGAACTCCCTCGGGTGTAAGGCGATGGACAGCTTCAATGCCCTGTTGGGCACAGCGTCCGGCCCCGGCGCCTTCCTTGGGGGCACGCTCTTACCCATCCGGATCACCTCCTCTTCCGACACTTCGCAGGCATCGTTGGGGTGGTGCTCTGCACTGGGCTCGACCGTCACGGGAGATCCTGTCGGGAAAAGCGCTCGCACTATGCCTTATAGGGCTACGGGGTCCGATGGAGCAGAGCTGCCGGCTCTCAGCCATTTGACCACCATCCTGTACGCTCCGCCCCAGGGGTCGTCCTCCGCCTCGTCGCAGAGTTGCAGGAAACGGTTCCTCTTGGCATCCCTTATGGCCGTCTTGAGGGCCTTTCTCGCCGTCCTGTAGACCTCGCTACGCTCAGCGACTCGTGAGGTTCCGCGTGCACGAGTCAGCTGCCTACGGGCTCGAAGGCAGGTGGCCCTGAGGTCGGCGATCGCGTCGCTCCACCAGAACACTGGTCTGTGGTTTCCTCGAAACGAGCCTCTCTGGCGCATACTCTGGTCGCAGGCGTGCTCCAGGGTTGCTGCGATGCGGTTCGCAATTTCGTTGGCTCCCCCCGTCACTTCGGCCGCCATGCCGTCCAGCGCGTTTGTGAACGCCTGCGTGCACAGGCCGGTAGGCTTTGCTGGGCCGCGGTGCTGCACGGGTATCTTCCGCGGGACCTCCCACTGAGCATATGATAGCCTCATGGTCGCTCCCGGTGTATGCGTCGCAAATTCCCCATCTAGCGGTTTGGGAAATTGCTCCGCTCACATACGTAAGGTCGATGATGGAGGCTGCTCCTGCTCTGACGAACGTATGCCGCTCACCGTCGTTAAGGAGGACGACGTCTGTCGATGCAAACGCCTCGAGCACCGCGCGTCCTCTGGCGTTGGTCGAGACGGATCCCCATTCCTGGGCCCAGGCGTTGAAGTCTCCTCCGACTATAACTTTGTGCCTCCCACGAAGGTCAGAGCTTAGGTCATCCAGGATCCTACTGAACACCTCAAGTGGGAGACTAGGCGCCAAGTAGCAGCTATAGACGCAGTAGCCGCCAACTTCCGCCCGCACGAATCCGTCCGCAGCCAGGATATTGGACATCCGTAGTCGCCTGCCTCCGCAGAGCCAAAGAGCCGCCTTGCCAGAGCGGTCCTTGGCCCACTCTCCTCCCACGCTCACCCTGTATGGCTCGCTGAGTATGGCCACATCCGCCGCTACCTCGCGCACTGTCTGCGTAAGCAGGTCCTGCGCCGCTCTGCAGTGATTCAGGTTGAGCTGAATCAACTGCATACGGTCCTTGAAGTGTCTGTACCGCCTTTTCCGGCCTGGCGGCTTTTGCTGCCGCGTCGAACGTCGGCCTCTCCGGAGCTCGCTGGAAGGATCACTGGCTCCTTTTTGCAGGCAGCGGCCTTGTGGCCTGCTTCGCCGCACTTGATGCAGTAGCCGCTCTTGTCCACCGGGCTCTTGCACCTGATGGCGATGTGCCCAAGTTCCAAGCATCTGAAGCAGCGAGGAGGGCCTTCGCGCTCCCGCACTCTGCACCTGGTCCAACCTATGCGGACCTCGCCGCGCCGTCTGACTTCCTTTGCCATCGAGCAAGGCAGGCTGAAGACCGCCGTTTTAGATTCCCCGTACCCGGGGCGGAGGCTTCGTATCCTCACTGCTCCGTCGCTTAGCTGGTACTGCTCAGCGAGGGCGGTACGAATCTCCCTCTCCGTCGTGATCGCGTCGAGGTTACGTATCACGAAGACGCAGACCTTCGACTCCTCCGTCAGGGCTCGCACTTCCGCGGCGTCGCCCAGGACCTTGGAGATGCTGTCCCTCATGGACTCAGCGCTCTCTGTGCTCCCTCTGGCTACTTCGAGGAGAAGATTTCCCCTAGCTGTCCGGCGCACCTTGGTGACAGCCCCTCCGAGATCTGTCAGCTGTCTATCCTCCCTTCTCGTGACCAGGGCCAGGATCTCGCTGTAACTCTTCCCTGGAGCTTCCACTACCACCGCGTCTGGGCGTGCTCTGCGAGCTGGTTTTTTCTTGACCACTGTGCTCCACGAATTCCCGGCAGTCACAGGCTCGGGTTCGGGTGGCCTTCCTGCGCTCCCATGCCGACGCTCCGGTGCCCGAGGCATCGCTGGGGCATCAGGCCGTGCCTTTCTGGCACCGTTTCTCGGCGCTGCGGGGGCTGTGGCCTGGGCTGGTGGGGCTCGCCTCTGCCTGGGGACTTCACTAGCCCCGGCTATGCCGTCTTGCTGGCTTACCCTTCTCCACGGGTCAGTCTGAACTGCCCGGTCTTTCCTTAGCACTACCGCCGTCTGTTGTGCCTTGCTTTCTACCGGCTTCCCAGCTGGTAGAATCTGGGAGCATCTGCCGCATACGCTCTCCGGCTCGCTCGTTTTTTCGGGCTCCACTGCTGACCGCTCGATGCCGGATGCCGTCATCTCCTGCTCAACCTCGACGTCAGGGATGGCCTCCTCCTGGGCGGCTTTGCTTCTCTTTGGAAGCGTACCCTTTGTACCGCTCGTCGGGCTGGCCGGGTCTCTGCCCCTCTTGGCCGAGTCGGTGGGGTCGCCGACCGCACTCCTCTCAGGCGCCAGGGGTGGCACGAGGGGTGGGGAATGGGCCAACAGGCTGCTCTTCCTAAAGGCCGCCGCGTCTCCCTTGTTCTTCTCTTCCTTCTGGCTTGGTGCATTACCTAGCGTGGCGGCCAAGTCAGCCACCGCCACGACAGGGTGTGTTGGAGTGTTAGGTAGGGCCTCCAGAATCCTTGCCCTAACCGTGGGAATTCCCACGGGTGGATTTCCACTATTGTGGCTGCCACCTGGAGTAATTGAGTTTTTCTCTGACATTCCAAGTATGTGCATTGTCGCCCAATGCTAGGCTGCATTTTATACCTTCTGCCAGGTGTTGAAGCTGCCGGCCACTATGGCTCAGACGCAGACCAGATAGCCGCCCACTTTGGGTCAGTCGCTACCTGGATTTTTGGGTGCAGCTGGGGCCTGCTGCTAGGCTTGATCATCTGCCGGCCACTATGGCACAGACGCAGATCACGTAGCCGCCCATTGTGGGACAGACGCTACGTGGAGGGGAGGGAGGGGTGGCATGTGCACTTGCGAGGTCCCTCGTTGGCCAGGGGTTTCCCCGTGACTAAGCAGGTGGGAGTTTTACCGCTCCTGCTCGGTCGCCAGAGCCCCGTTTCCAGGTGTACCGTATAGCGGTGGGGTTGGCTATTGGTCTGCTCCATGACCTTTACCACCTTACTTATCCTCTGTGCGAGCCTTGGGTTTGGGTTTTCACCCGTTTCCGCTACCTCCTGCCAAGGATCAAGAGCAGCAGCCCTGAAAGCTATGCTACGTTTTGCATTTGCAGATCGCATATGCACGTCGTAGCAGGTAGCTTTTGTCTGCGCGACAGCTGGCACGATACCGCCACCTGGTGGCAGCGGAGTGTTGCCAGACCTGTGCAGTGTTCGACGCTTCTCAACACTCGGTCACAGCTGATCTCGCCCACAGCTGACGTGACTGGCATATGTTGCGGGGGCAGCCACATTTTCCACGAGAGAGAAGCTTGCGAACGGAGGCAACAACAACCATGAAGGTTGTCGCGGGAAATATTCTCACCGCTCTCGCCGCTGGCCCAGATCTAGGGCTTGGAAGATCGGACTCCCTGGATCATCCATGGACATCACAGGGGTGACGCCGCTGGTAAGCACTCTCAGCCGCTTCGCGCGGCCGCTCCGCATCCGATTTTGTGAGGGGCCCTGCCACAACCCCCACACCACGCGTACATCGGGGGAGCACCGCCGCGGCGCATCCGTGCCCGGCGACTACACAAAAACACTCTTCGTGCGGTGGAAGGTATAACCTCTTATATGAAAGTTGTATCTGCTTGTAAGGTGCGTTTCAACCAGTAGCATGTCGTCGATGTGGTTTTCGTTTAGAAATTGTGTTAGTTCAAGTTTATGCCGTGAGACGCCGTTGGTATTCTACCTGGATATACGTAGATTGGACATTGAATATTTTGACTGTTGTGCTACAAGCAGCTGTATCTGATTCTGGACGAGCGTTTGCATGGTCGTTTTCATAAATGACATGAGTTCCATCATACTTTATTGCATGGTCACCATCATGGATTCCAGGTTGTTTTGTGGCTGCCCTGGGGCCTGCTGCGCATTTACTAAGTTTGAGGGGAATGGATTTTGCATACCTGTCCGTAGAGCTTCGGCGTAGGAGATGCCCGTGGGGGCATTTAGCGGACCAAAAGAAGATCTGGCTGCTTTGGCAAAAAACACATCTGGAGTAGTTTTTGAATTATAATACACATTTTGTGTATTTTGTTGGCGTGTTGCTGTCGCTCATCGCATGCGACTCTTCAGCTCCTTGTAGACCACACAGCCTCTGTAGTTAGCTGTATGGTTTCCTCTACACTTTCCACTTCTGGTTCAATTCCTTTGCAGTCACTTGCTGCTTTTTAGTTGGTAGGTGTAAAAGCTCTTTTGCAGGTAATTAGACACAGCTCGAAAGTGTTCTTCTGATTTGGTTTGAACTTTGGTTTCGCAAATGTTCCCTTTAATAATCGGAACAACATGAAAATTTCAGTCCCCGACCACCGAAACAATTTTGTTGACCAGGGCGTTTGAACTTTTCTCCCTAATATAAATAGGTGGGGGCTTTGGCTGTTTTTGAGTCTCCTGCTCCGGCTCTGCTTGGTTATTCTTATCAGCTGCTAGCGGGGAAAATCTGTTGGAGTTGGTTGGGTCGTAGCTTTTGGTGACACTATTGATCTTAGGTTTGTTACCAACCGTGTTATGTGGGCTGAGCTTACGCTTAATTTGGATGTAGCGATCCATGCCAGTCTGTATAGCCGGAACTGTTTGTTGCTTATCGGAGCTTACATTTGGATTTGGCGCTGCGGCCGTTGGCACCGATTTCGCAATATTGGTCGTTGGTTTAGTTGTTGTTGTTGCTTTTGCTGTTTTTGCAGAAATTGCAGCACTGCTTGTTGTTGGTGCGTCTTCCATCGAAGCCGGTGTTGGTGGTGGGGTTTGGCATTGGGAGCTCCAAGATGTAGGAGCTGGAATGAGTAGGGCGGGTGAGCAAGAGCGCGCTCTCTTGCAATCGGCGGTTAGTAGAGCCGGGTTGGACTTAATAGACGTTTTTTCTGCTTCGAAATCGCAAGTTGAGAAATAAGTGAAACAACCGTTTCTTTGGTTTACAGAGGTTCTGCGCTCATTCTTTTAATCGCCGCTCATTATTTTGAGCTTGTTACGCGTGACACCATATAAATGAACTTTGCAGCTCAAAAACACGTCTCATGCACTAGTGTATGTGTGTCATACGTACTGTAGGTCTTGGCCTAACTATCAGTACGTAGTTTACAGTTCCGAATTTACTTTTTTACCATGAAAAACACTACAGGTCGTCCGTAGGCACGTCTGCACTCGATGAAGGTCGAATGCGATTGATTATTTTATTCGTACAAAAAAATTCTTACAGTGTATATTGTCATACGGAAAGATTAGCCAAAGAAGGAAGAGCTTTTTATAATCATTGGTTTACACTGCTAGAACACAAGCTGGGATATAAATGAAATTTAAATTTTAAATTTATATTTTATTATTAAATGTTTAATATTAATTACGAGCAAGGAGTTATTAAATTAAATCAGGGAAATCGAAAGTTATATTATTTTAATTTTTCTTCCCAAAAATTCGTCGCTCAGTGTAGCAATTCTTAGTTGGGCAAAGCTTTTCGCTCTGTAAAGTTTTGTGGTGCTAACTGGCTGAATAAGCGCGATCGGGTAGCTGAGCAACAATGCATTTATTCATTTTCCGTAATGACTGACGTATTTGTTAAAAATGCACAAAAAGCTTATCTCCGCGAAAGCCGTGAGCAAAACAAAAATAAAATTAATTAGCATGCATGTTGTTTCACTTACATATTTTTCTGCAGCTCCATCGTCGAAAGATCTTTGGACGATGGGATGGCTGAAAACAATTCTTAGCGAGGGGAGTGTATATTTTTAATTAAAGACAGGCTATTTACTGTCTAGATATATGGCCGATCTTAACTGTAAATGATGTTTTATTTATTCTATTATATTCATTTTTTTTTCTCAGTTATTGTTGCTCATTTAGGTTTATTTTGATGCACTTTTTTACTTTCCTTGCAGGTTTACGATTATTCCTTCTTTTCTTTCATGTTGCCAATTTACATTTCAGAACACTTTTAAAGAACTTTTTATGAATGAAATGAAACTAAGAGAAAAACTAACCTATGCCTATTATGACACACTAGTATGCCAGGCGAACTCCGGTACGCCACCTTCGGCAAATTATCCGTTTAATTGAAATGTTCTTTGGTAAACCACATGTGTTGTGGTTAATAGGATTATCTAGGGACCAAATAGCCCCTGGGATGTTAAAATCACTATGAACTACTAACTAAGTGGTCCCTATCCGAAAGTCTTTTAGAGACCAACTGAATAGCGGAAAGATGGTTTCAATAAATAGGAAGTTCCGACAATGGAGGAATGTAGGAACATGTCTGATAGGCCGATCTAGCCGGTATACTGTGAACACAGCTTGAAAAACTTCGAAGCTCAGAATCTCCGGCTTTAACCAGGTTTCTGTAAACACAAAACTTGGGAAGCAAATGTGACACTATTATAGTACAATTTAGGAAGCCTCTAGCATTCTGATAGGAGATACCAAGGAAGTGTGTTAGTTTTTTGGGACGCATTGGTCAAATCGGGCCTAGGAAGAGTAATTCCAACTGGCTTTTTTTTTCTCTTTCTTTGCTTCGAATTCCTTGACAATCACATGCTTTGTTCAGATTTGGAGAGAGCATAGTTTCTCAAAGAATTCCTCAGGAACATTTATTTTGAAAGATGAAACTGTCTCGTTGGTGGTATTGCTATAAGGGGATTTTTCAAGGTAGGCTGATTATCCGCCTTACCAATTTCGGCCGGTAGTCCGGGCCAGACACTCTGGTAGGGAACTGGGGCTGTGAGAGGACAACTGTTGGGACCCTCCAGTGGACAAAACGGATATGGGCAACACCGGGGGCACGGTCTCACCCGCGACACCTTTGGATAATGAATCTTTTCTAGCACTCTATCTCAGGATTCTTGAAATTTTTCCAGAGGTCGATGGCTATGTCGAGGAAGGCTGCTGCTAGGAGCCTGCCACGCTGGTTGGGATCCGCTCAGATGTTGCACACCAGTTGATCTTCGTGTGCCCACGCGTTGTCTCAATCGGGCATTTTCCCTTACTACATTTCGTCTCTCCTCGCTTAAGTTCTGTGAATACACTTGTTGCTGGCATGCATGCCTTGTGCGGAGACCGATGTTCAAACGTCGTGCTTTAGGCATTTTTAGCTATAGGAAAAGTGGTTAATTTAACCTCAATTTCACATAATTTACACAGTCCAACTTACCACCTTAAAGACAAAAGCTGGTTTCCAATTGAAATGTTAGGAAACGAATAACTTTTTTTTTGCAAAACCGTGAAAATCGGTTGGTGCATTCTGGAGTTATGTATGTGATCTGGGTCTATAGGCAGAGTGGTTAATTTAAGCTCAAATCCGCATAATTTACACAGTTCAACTAACCACCTTTTCTGTTGCAATTATTTTTGAAAAAGCCACTGAAATATATGAGGTTAAGTCCGAAGAAGAGGACACTAAGCTTGCCTCAATTGCTGCAAACTCCCAAGGTTCAGATGCACCATTTGTTTGACTAAACCATTCGAAAGTGCCCAATATTAAATTAGTTAAAATCGGGGACGAAGACAGGCTGGCAATAGCTGAGAATATTCCCACCGCTGGTCCCGATTGGATAGTTATCCTGCAGCGATTCGATGGTA